GTGAGCTACACTGGCAAGGAAGGAGACACTGGGCCCGCTGGGTGGCAGCGGGCTCCTCGGTCGGAGGGCGGCTCGTGGTGCCAGAGACGGAGCGAGTGTGGATGCTGTGGGCTCCAGATTTCTAAGAGAATCATTTCATGAGCTTTTCACTAGGTGACATGCACATCGCGTGACCCTGGTACAAGCACCTGTCTGGGCTTTGCTTTGGGGACGGGGCAGCTTTCCTGTTGTTTGCAGCTTCCATTTGCACTGCGCTGTTTCCTGGCTGTGGGCATCAAGTCACAGGGGTCTCCTGGGTGGCCCCAGGAGCTGAATGATCCGGAACCACAGGGACACAGGGACAGGGCCAGCTCCGGCAGCCTCGGCTCACCTGGATATAGAGGGCGGCGCCACTGCGCCCGAAGCAGTTTTTCCTGCCGCCGTCTTCTCCATTGAAACCCTGGTACCTCGACAGGACCGATGACAGGGACTTGACTCGCTGATCAACTAAAGTGAGAACAAGAGTCTCAGCCCCTTTAAGACAGCCATGGCCTACTGCTGACATCTCTGTGTCCCTTTTCAGAACTTAAAAATGCGTATGGAAGCATGGAGTGAGGCTGCAGCAAAAGTCACAAAAACAGCAGCATGGCTTTTTGAAAGTGAACTTATTTTGCTTCCAAAAGTGCTGTCATTTCTGAACATTTTAAAATTACTCATTTTTTAAAGTAGCTACATTCTATGACTGTTGTGAACGCCTTGCTCCCAGCTCGCTGCTGCGTTTGTGCCGAGTGAGTGGGAATGACACCAGCACCCGGCAGCACCCGGCGGCAGCACCCGGCAGCACCCGGCGGCAGCACCCGCTGGCAGCACCCGGCAGCACCCGCCGGGCTGCCGCACAGGCTCTGCTTTCACGCGGCCAGCACGTCAGGTGCCTTGACAGGAAACACTCTGTGCTCCTGAAATTAAAAAACAAGACAAAACATGCTGGAAGCTGCTTTTTTGCGTGTGCTGTTTATGAACATCCGTGTATTTTATAAAAATGACATCCATACATCAGGGCTTTTGGTTTTCTTAGGGCAAGGTCTCCCCGTCGGCCAGGATGGAGTGCGGCGGCACCATGGGAGCTCGCTGCAGCCTCAGCCTGCTGGGCTCAAGCGATCTCCGGGCCTCAACCGCGAGTAGCTGGGACTATAGGTGTGTGCCACCACATCTGGTTATTTTTTTTTAAGAGACAGGGTATCACTGTGTTGCCTAGGCTTGTCTCAAACTCCTGGGCTCAAGTGATCCTCAGCCTCCCCAAATACTGGGATTACAGGCATGAGCCACTGCACCTAGCTGGGTTTTAAACATTTTATTTTTATTTTTTTAGAGACAGGGTATCACGCTGTCACCCACACTGGAGTGCCGGGGTATGATCAAGACTCACTGCAGCCTTGAACTCCTGGGCTCAGGCAATTCTCCTGGAGCCGCTGGGACCACAGGCACACGCCACCATGTCTGGCTAATTTTTTCAAAAATTTTTTGTAGATCCACAGATCTTGAGACCAAAAAAATAATTATTTTTTTTGCCCAGGCTGGTCTTGAACTTCTGGGCTCAAGTGATCCCCCTGCCTTGGCCTCCCAAAGTGCTGGGATCAGAGGCATGGGCCACTGCACCTGCCCATACATCAGGTTTTTAGTTCAAATGCACATGCAGACTCAGGGCCCCTCCCCACCTCCGCCCGTGCCACCCCAGGGCACCTGCCTCTCAGAATGACATGCCCGCCGTTGCCTCCGTCCCCTCCATCGGGGCCTCCAAACTCCTTGCGGGGCTCACTGTGGAAGCAGCTTGCCCCGGCGCCTCCGTTTCCTCCACAGACAAGCACTCTCCGACAGTCCACAAAATACCTTTTCTGCAGAGAGCACAAGCATCCCACGTCACCTCGGCACTTGAGGGCCCTTCAAGAGACCACGCATCCATTTGAGATGTGCTTCTATCTGGGACAGCCTATTAAAATTCGAGGTTAATGACACTAACATGGCTAATCTCTTCTAAAATTCAAAGATAAAACAGCTCCCATAAGTCAGCAGCATCTGTAGACAGAGGTAAATCCACGATGCAGACCTAAGTATTCTGTATGGACCCACACTTCAAAATTCAGCATTTCTTATTCTGGGTGAGACTAATTTAAAAACAAACCGAAACCCAGCATTTCTAACCTAAAACACCCACATCTTGTTTACGAAATATTCATTAAATAATGTGTCTTTCCATTCCAAAAAAACCATTCCTGAAATAGTAGAACCTTACTCTCAGAAAGTTCTAATTTCCCAGGCTGTGATAGGGAAATGGAGTTACAGCCGTTCCTGCACAATTGCCAGGCTTTCGACTCTGAACAGTGTTCTCTGGGGCCTGAAGCAAACAAGGTTCACTGTAAAAACCTAGTGATGCAAACAGAGCCCCTTGCTGGAGGGAAAGCTGATTGCGAGGTCACTGAGGCAGGTGCAGTCTGGTCGAAGAGAGAACTAATCAGGTTACTGTTCACTACACAGCAGCTCCGACCACAGAAGGGTCAGCTCCGACCACAGAAGGGTCAGCTCCCTTGGCCCAGGATGCTGCAGCCGCACCACACCCTGGGGTGGGCACCGGGCTTCTGCCACGTACACGGACAGACGCACCACGCCCAACAGCCACCCAGGCCTGCTGCTTCTGCACTCCCATCCAATACTCCTCAAATGCGTCTTCTTTTTTTCTTTTAAAAGAAAATACACAAACATTTTAAGATTCTTTGGCACCACCGTGTGGAAAAACCATGAACTGCTATTTCCAAATCTCAACGTGTAATGTCCACCAGACAGGGAGAGCCACACCTAGACTGGCCTTCTCTTCTGGGGATGAGGCAGGCCTGTGCGGACACTTCCGCTATGTGAGCACACTTCCTGCCACGGCGGCTTTTCCCCCGAAGTGCTGTTTGCCCCAGTGATGCTTATCTGTAGCCCCTCCATTCAGGAGGAATGAAGTAAGTCATAAACTTGTATTTTCTTGAATTTATGAGAGAGAATCATGTTTCAAATAGGAGGTTTTGGTAAACAGAACAAGAAAAACTTGTAAGGCTTAAAGAACCATGAAACAGAAAGTCTATTTCCTCCATTTATTTTATTTACTTATTAATTTTTAGTAGAGATGGGGTTTCACCATGTTGGCCAGGCTGGTCTCGAACTCCTGACCTCAAGTGATCCGCCTGCCTCAGCTTCCCAAAGGGTTGAGAATACAGGCATGAGCCACCGCGCCTGGCCCCTTGATGGGTTTTAAATTAAGAAATAGCCACATATATTAAAGGATATATGTAATATACATGTAAGATACCCAGGATCATGGTAAAATGAGCAGCCTATACCACGGCTCTCCAAGCACCCAGCATCTCTCCCAGCCTGCTGGGATTTGCTGAGTGTGGGACTTGGCACACAGGCCGCATTTCACCCCACCATTTTCAAGAAGCTCCATGTGCCCCCATCAGTAACATCATTAACTAACATCAACAGAGATGAGATCAAGAGGACCCAAAACCACACCCCGTGCTTTCTGGGGAGTAGACAGGCAAGCTGCTGTACTCCCACATGCAGACTTGGGGCCCCTAACTTCAGAAGTCTCACCAGCTTCTTCTCAGAGAGTGGCTTCTTCCCCGGGAGCTCCTGATGCTTGGCGTGGTCCGCACGGCCGACCGAGAGCAGCCTGGGAGAAACCTGCCGTGGCAGTAGCTGGCTGGGCTTAAGGCCAGCCTGCATGGACAAGGCCCAGTGCCCCACGCCCTCAAACATGGTCCTCGATCTTGCTGAGAAAAGCCTTGCAGGTGTCATGGCCCCTACGGAAGTCAGATTGGCAAAATGAGATACTTGGTTGAATCCTGGCATGAAACAGAAACTAAAGAGGAGGGCCCCACCAGTAGGTCTCAATGCCTGTTTCTGAAACAAACAAGTGAACTGACAAATCCGACTTCGCTGGGCACTCACCCTCTCTGCCCTGACCCAGTCAGCCGATCTGTGACTCGAGAGCAGGCTTTCTGTACAAAGGGTTTAAAACAGTAAATCACCCACCACGCTAGACAAAGGATTTAAAACAGTAAATCACCCACCACGCTAGACACGCCCTCTTATGGAATATCAAGTATCTGCTCAACAAAAATATTAAAAAGGAAATCTGAACTGCAAGTCAAAATTTCTTGAAAATAAAGACACCCATTTATTCAAATATTATTAAGTGGGTAATCTTGTGCAATTTTAAAGTTGTTAAACTGGAACACAACAAAAACATTAAACATGGGTCATAGCAGCTAAGCATCCAGGCTCTGGAAACCAAGTCTCAGGGATAGCCACGCGCCTGTGTGGCCTCAGCCTCCTCAGCTGTAAGGACACTCGTACTTAGGATGGGGAGCTGTAAGGACAGGGCTGGGGGTGAGGATGGGCTGAGCTGATCCACACAGCTAGACAACAGTGGCCCTCGCGGTCACACTGAGAGAATGAGAAGCAGACACTTGGCTGGTCATCATAAAGACCGAAACACAATGAGAAGCCTGGACCTTTCAGCCCCACCCCCACCCTCCAAAAAGGAGACAGGGGCTGGAGGCCGAGTTCATAAGTGATCACGTCTCCATGATGAGGCCTCCATGGAAATCCTTCAGCTAGAGGTCCTGGAAAGCTTTCGGTTTGGTGAACACATCCTGTGCTGTGAGGGCAGACACACAACTTCCCAGGGACACAGACTCCTGTGCCCAGGACCTCCAGGCCTCGCTGTGCCTCTCCTCACCCAGCTGCCCACCTCTGCCTCCTGTGGCATCCTCTATAGTAAACTGGCAATGCAAACCAACTGCCTTCCTTAGTTCTGTGAGCCACTACAGCAAATTATCAAACCTGAAGGGGTTGCAGGAGCCCCCAATGTATAGCCAAGATGGACAGAAGTGTGGGTGCCCTGCAATTAGCATCTGAAATGGGAGGTGGTTTGGTGTGACTGAGCCCCTAACCCTGGGGTCTGTGATAACCACGGCAGGGTCAGACTGAAGTGAATTATCGGGTGCCTGGTGGTGTTTGGAAGGGACTGGTTATCGGGTGCCCGGTGGTGTCTGGAGAGGACTGGTGAATTGTTGGTGTGGAAAACCCATGCTTTTGGTGCCTGACGGTGGTGTTGGTGGGAACAGATCTGCACAGCGACAGGGCTGGCACAGCTGCTGTCACTCTCGGAGCCTTATTTCAGTGGTCACGTGTGCATTCAGCCGCTCATGGCAGCTGGTGACCCTGCAGGTGCCAAGGGCACAGTGAGGAAGCTGGTGACCCTGCAGGTGCCAAGGGCACAGTGAGGAAGCTGGTGACCCTGCAGGTGCCAAGGGCACAGTGAGGAAGCTGGCGACCCTGCCTTCTAGCAGAGGACAGCCCTTCTCCCTTCACCACGAGCACAAACACTGCCTGCTCCCCAAGCCCCCCATTCTTCAGCGGGTCCCATAGGAAGAACCTCACAAAGCGCTCCCCATCCTGAGTATGAGAGGCATGTACAGAAAGGGCCCCTGGTACTCAGCTGAAAACTGGCCACGAGGCCCGTGTGGGAACACGAGGGGACACTGCCTGCCTCCTTCTTTGAGACAGCTTGGATGCCTCCCTCTCCACAGCCTCACTCCTCCGAAAAGGGGTCACCTCCTTTCAGGCGGGGTGTCACTCCTCTGTGGGGTCCTTGGCTATTTCGCCTTAATTCTGAGGCAATCACAGTTACAGAAAAGTTGGAAGAATACAAAGAACTTTCTCCTCATCACTGAGTCAGTCACTGACCAGACTTCTCTGCACCCGGAACATTCCATGTGTGTTTCCCCGAGACCGGCCATGACCAACAGCCCCTCCTCAGGCGCCCCCACAGGAGCCCCCCCCTCCCGCAGGAGAGTCTGCATCCCAGTCCCTGCTGCCTGCAGCTGCCGTGCCTCCGCCGGCTCTCTGGGCTAGAAGGTTCCTCAGCCTCTCCTGACTCTGGATCGCCCCTGACACCTGGGAGGCGGCAGGCCAGCTACGAGCAGGACGTCCTTGATCCCAGTTCAGCACTCTGGGATCATTCTAATTTTCTCCTGTGGTCTTGGTCACTCCATTCTCTGCCTATAAGAAACTGGGCTTCTGGCCGGGCGCGGTGGCTCACGCCTGTAATCCCAGCACTTTGGGAGGCCGAGGCGGGTGGATCACGAGGTCAAGAGATCAAGACCATCCTGGTCAACATGGTGAAACCCCGTCTCTTCTAAAAATACAAAAAATTAGCTGGGCATGGTGGCGCGTGCCTGTAGTCCCAGCTGCTCAGGAGGCTGAGGCAGGATAATTGCCTGAACCCAGGAGGCGGAGGTTGCGGTGAGCCGAGATCGCGCCATTGCACTCCAGCCTGGGTAACAAGAGCGAAACTCCGTCTCAAAAAAAAAAAAAAAAAAAAAGAAACTGGGCTTCCATGCTCTTTAAGACACGTGTGGAGCCGCTCAAGCCCTACTGTGACCCGCCCTCAGCGCCACCTCCCTGCTCCACACAGGTGCTCTCGTTCCCCGACTGACCGCACTACCATGCTGGGCCACCTCTCCGTAGGACACCTCCCCTGGTTACTCTTCCTGTGAATATATTTTAAAGGACGGCTGATTTTGAGATGAGTTTAGATTTGTGGACAAGGTGCAAAGGCATTCCCGCGGGCTTTCTTCCCAGTGTCCCCGGCAGCTGTGCCTGTGTGGCCGCCACGCCTGTGTGGCCACCGCTGGTGCACTGCCGCTGAGTGCCAGGTGGCGCTCGGGGCTCCGCGGTTTCCCAAGAGCACCCTTCTTATCTTCCGGGATGCAGGCCAGGATCCACACTGCTTTTAACCGGCAGGTAGTGATATTTTCAAGTGCGTGAAGAAAAAAGGTGCTGAGGCCTTCTATACCTAGGGAAAGTATCTTTCAGAAAGGAAGGTGAAATAAAGAATCTCAGGTGGTAGAAAACAAGACAGTTTACCACTAATATCCCTGCTGTATAAGGAATGCCCAAGAAAGTTCCTCAGGTTGAAGGAAAATGATACCGGAGGGAAGCCTGGATCTTGAGGAGGGAAGGCAGAGCAGCAGAAACGGTAAATACCAAATGCCACTGTTTTCCTCTTAAGAGTTCTTAAATATGTATGACTGCAGACAAAAGAACACTGTTTAGTGGGCTTCCATTGCTCACAGAGGTAATACACGTGACGGCACAATGAAAAGGTCAGCAGGGGATTAAAGGGACCCAGATGACAGCAAGGTCCCCTGTTTCTGGGATGGGCACAGCATTAACTCTAAGCAGACAGTGAAGGCTAGGTGCACAGACTGGAAGCTCCCAAGCAATTACTAACACACAATACAAAGACACAGATCCAAAAAGCCAACAGATACGTGAAATGCTAAGAACTACCCCAAAAATTCAGAAGAAAAAGAACAAAAGAACAAAAAATCGAGGGGACACATAGGAAGCAATACTAAAAGTGCACCTAAATCCAACCGTGTAAGTAGTTTCATTAAATGGTATGTTCACAGATTCGAAGTGAAGGGCAGAGGTTGACAAGGTGGGTTAAAAAGAGCCAGCTGGTTGCTGGCTGTAATCTCAGCACTGTGGGAGGCCAAGGTGGGAGGATCTCTTGAAGCCACGAGTTTGAGACCAGCCTGGGCAAAACAGCATGGCCCTCATTTCTACCAAAAGAAAAAAAATTAGCTGGGCTTGGTGGTGCACCCCTGTGGTCCTAGCTACTTGGGAGGTAAGGCGGGAGGATCGCTTGAGCCCATGAAGTCAAAGCTGCATTCCAGCCTGAGCAACAGAACGAGAGAATGAGACCCTATCTTTTTTTTTTTTGAGACAGGGTGTCACTCTGTCACTCCAACTGGAGTGCAGTGATGTAATCACAGCTCATTACAGGCTTGACCTCCTGTATTAAAGCGATCCTCTTGCCTCAGCCTCCTGAGTAGCTGGGACTACAGGTAAGTGCCACTGTGCTCGACAAATGTTTTTAAAGTTTTTTGCAGAGATGGGGTCTCCCCGTTACCTAGGCTGGTTTCAAATTCCTGGGCCCAAGTGATCTTTCTGTCTTGGCCTCCCAAAGTGCTGAGATTACAAGCATGAGCCACCACAACTGCCCTGAGACCCTTTGTCTAAAAATAGAAACATAAAAACAGTAAAGACATGAAATCTAAACAATACTATCAAAATATTTACCAGGTTGACATTTATATAGCAGTACATCCAACAACTGTAAAATATGCACTATCTTCCGGTGCATGTGGAACATTCACCAAAACAGAGCGTAAGATGCGTCACAAAAGAAGTCTCAATACACTGAAAAGAAGCCATGCACGGTCAGCCCTCTGTATCTGTGGAGTCAACAAGCCTCCGGTAGAGAGTATGCGAAAAACAAAAAACAGTAACAATTTTTTTAAATTAAAAAAATAAAGTACACCAACTATATCCACAGCATTTATATTACATTGTAGTATAAATAATCTAGAGATTATTTAATATATACAGAAAGGCTGGGTGCAGTGGCTTATATCCGTAATCCCAGCTATTTGGGAGGCCAAGGTGGGAGGATCACTTGAGGCCAGGAATTTGAGAACAGCCTAGGTAAAATAGTGAGACCTTGTCTCTACCAAAAAAAACAAAAAAAGAAAGAAAGAAAATTAGCTGGGCATGGTGGTGCACACCTATAATACCAGCTACTTAGGAGGTTAAGGTGGGAGGATCACTGACGCCCAGGAGTTGGAGGCTGCAGTGAGCCATGATCACACCACTGCACTCCAGCCTGGGTGACAGAGCTCCTGACTGGGGGGAAAACAGTATATGAAGGATGCGTGCAGCTTACATGCAAATAATACTCCATTTTATATCAGGGACGTGAGCAACCTCCAACCAATCCCCCTCAAATATCAACCATAGGGTCTATTCTCTAACCAGAATTAAACTGAAAGTCAATAGCTAGAAAATATCTAGGAAAATCCCAAATATCTGCAAATTAAACAACCTTCTTCTAAATAATCCATAGGTCAAAGAAGAAATCAAAAGAGAAATTAGAAAATGTTTTGAACTGAATGACAATGAAAATGCAAAACACCAGAATTTAAGAGATGCAGCTGCAGCAGTGTTTAGAAGGAAACTTACAGCTCTAAAGGTTACCTTAGTAAAGAAGAAAGAGCTAAAATCAGTAACCTAAGGCTCCAAATCAAGACACCAGAAAGAGCAAAGTCAGCCGAAGCGAGAAGGGGAGGGATCATACAGAGTGGAAATAAACAAAGAAACAGCCGACAACAATGAAATGTAACAAAAAGCAGGCTCACTGAAAAGCCAAGCTTACTAACAGAAACCGGAGAGCGCAAATCTCCACTGCCAGGAATGTTAAAAGGTTATCTTCAACACACCTTACAGAGAGCAAAACGACAAGAGAACACCAGTAACAACTTCACGCCAGCAAATTCAATCACAACTCAGCTTACGTAAAATAAACACATTTCTTGAAAAATGCAACTTATTAAAGAAACACAAGAATAAACAATCTAAAATAGCCCTGTATCTACTCAAGAAGTTAAATTTGTTATAAAAGAACACTCCCGGCCAGGTGCAGTGGCTCACGACTGTAATCCCAGCAGTTTGGGAGGCCGAAGCAGGTGGATCACGAGGTCAAGAGTTCCAGATCAGCCTGGCCAAAATGGTGAAACCCCGTCTCTACTAAAAATACAAAAATTAGCCAGGTGTAGTGGCATGTGCCTGTAGTCCTGGCTACTCAGGAGGCTGAGGCTTGAACCCGGGAGCTGGAGGCTCGCTGAGCTGAGATTGTACCGCTGTTACACTACAGCTTGGGCAACAGAGCGAGACTCTATCTCAAAAAAAAAAAAAAAAAAAAAAAATCAGTTGTATTTTTAAGTTTCAGCTGCAAATAACTGTACATTAAAATGAAGAAAAACACCCATTTATGGTAGTGTCAAACACAAAAAGTACCTGAACATAATTTCACAATAAACCTTCAAAACCTCCACCTCTCTACTTGCAAAATACTGTTCTAAGTATTTTTCAGGGATTAACTCATTCAGTTCTCATAAAACTCTGTGAAGAAAATACTTCATCATTCTCATTTTAAAGTTGGGGAAACTGAGGCAGACAGGTGAAGAGACTCACCCAAGAGCTATCAGATGGGAAGGGTCGGGGTGGAGCATGAAAACAGGTTGGGGAAAAAACACAACTCGGGCTTATCAACACAAGCACAGTCACGGCTCGGCCTGCTGGAGCGCTACACCACCCAGCCCGGATATTCTGGAAACCAGGCTTCCTGACGCAGGTGACATGGAACCTGAAGGCGGTGAACCACAGAGGAGGCGACCGGAGGCCTGAACTCGGAATCTCGCCTCATCTGCTTCCTCCTTTTTGCCCTTTCAATTTCTCTTTGGAGACCTGCAGAGTGATGTGGCTCTCCCTTGCCAGATGAACAAATTCCACTGTTTTGC